GGATGTTCTCACAAAAGGTGTTGCAAAGAACAAGCTGGAGCATGATCTACGCAAGTTGGGAATGTGTGACATTTACTCCCAACTTGAGGGGGAGTGTTGAGTTGGGCTTAGTAGTTTTTTATTCTTATTTTAAGCTAGATGGTTATTTAGATTCACTTTTGGCTTTCAAAATGAAAATTCAATTCACTTTAGTTTTCACAATTGCTCCTTCCAATTCAAAATCAATTTTATTCCCTTAATGGAGTTCCGATCAAGGCTTAAAATATCTATATAATACATGGTATATCAGATTGGATTTTGAAGGATATGTTGAGAAGTGCAATACTGCAATTCAACCTGTGCTGGTTCATATCATATTGTATCCAGTGTTGTATTGTCTGTGTCCGTGGATTGTAGCAGTCTGTATCTGCATCTGTATTCATTGATGGTATTAGATGAATATATTGGTGGATACAGATTGACATTCATTCCATATCAGCCATAAAATTAAAATGTCTTATGTGTTTTATACCTTATTTAAAGTCATTTGAGCCTTTTTTTTTCTCGTTGACTTGGTGTTATTGATGCATTTCTTGGATTTTTATTCATTTCTGCATATTCCAGTATGCCTCTTAAAATCACCTTTCTGATGCTCTTTGCAAAGACCTTAGCATCTGAGATAAATGATATCTCATGACCTGCCAGACCTTCCTTGCATCACAACAAAGAAATTTCACCCACTAGGATTGCAAATTCTGGAATTTCTATTATTATTCCTATAAATGACCTAAACAAAAGGTTGTTTTTTTTGGTACAAAAAGCTATAAAAAATTTAGCTCAATAAATTGTACCACTTCTGGGACAGATTGAGATAGATTGCTCATAATGATCAATTTATGAGATAGGTCCCTGTGCTTATATTGTGCAACTCACGTGATTATTATCTATACTGTTGATTATGCCTTTATTTTAATTGGGTTCAACTGGAAGCTTTGGTTTCCTATCTGTATTTCTATTACATTTAGGCTATTTTTGGTTTGAAGGAAAAAGTAGGGAAAGGAAGGGAAAGGTAGGGAAAGCTTTAAAAATCTTGTATAGGTTTTATTACCTTTCCCTTCCTTTCCCTACATTTTCCTTCAAACCAAACATAGCCTTATATAAAAACAAAGAAAATATTCCACTTGACTCGCTACAGATTGAAAATAGCTCTTGATTCTCTTCAATAAGTTTGAAATGATGGTGCCACGCTCTGGAGTGACTTTTCAAAATGCTTGAATGAAAATTAGAGGCAAAGCATTGTAGGAAACTGGAAGGCATATATGGGTCTAGAACCAGATCTAGAAACAAATGCAGCAATCTAGCTTACCCCCTTCTACCAAAAAAGAAAAAAGAAAATCTAGCTTACCCTCTGAAAACACCTGAAAAAAGGAAAAACATTTTTGTTGCATCAACAGCATTGTTTGCTATGTACAGGCTGTCTGATTGTCATTTGAAATTCAATCCTTTATTTCAATCTGTTTGCATCTTGAAATCAGGCATTTTTGTGATCGATTATTTAACTGAACAGGAGTTGATGAGAAAAGAGATTAGCAAAAAACATGCTGGTGGCTTCTCCTTCCTGTTTGTTGTACTGATTGGTCTTCTGGGCATCCTTGTCGGCTATCTCATAAACAGAGGACGTTGAAGTCCAAAGACCAAATATCAGAACTTTTGTCAGCATCCTTGTACCAATATTTGGATGTTTGGATGTTATCAGAACTCCTCAGGAGGATTTATTCTATAATGTAGTTGTAAAGTGATTGGTTTTCCTTAATTGTGTATTATTGCCTTGCTGGGTTGTAATTCATTACTTGCGGTTTCAGAAAAAAAGGTAAGGTTTTTTCAATAAGTTAAAAAAAAAAACTTATTTTGCTTTAAGAATGTGTGCATGTATGTGATTTTGCTCAATCGGCAGTTTTTGAATTTAACACCAATTTAATAAATATTGGCCCGGACTGTTCATTATTGGAATTACCATCGTCTGTGAAACACTCAACTTCTTACACTTTTGACATCCCTCCTCACTATACTCCCCTTCATTGACAGGAATAGGCAATGGGATTTCTTGAGCAAAAACACCCTGCTTATCACTCTCCCCCGGGGTGAAGTCCTAGAGTAATAAGGGACATCTTCTAAGAATGTAACATCCATAGACGCAAATCTGATGAAACTTTAGCAGTAAAATAAATGAAAATAACAAAAGAAGAAAGAAGGAAAAGAGAAGAGAAGAAGAAAAGACTCTGGATCTCTTGTCCACAAGAACTCTGCCCACGTCTACTCACAACACACTAACCCCCCGTGAATTGGGAACATTTCCCTTATGTGGGTAGACGTGGGCAGGAGATCCGGACTCAAGAAAAAAGGGCATATCTTTAACGCATCATAGATATGATTATATTTCTATTACTAATAAGAAACACGATATTCTTTTTTTTTTTTTGAGAATCTATCTTCTAATCAACTTATCTATTTTTTGTGAAAAAAAATCTCTTTGAAATTTGAATAATTCAAAATCTAATATGAAAACGATAGTGGTAATATAAAACCTGAAAATTGTCGAAAAAGTTTCTAGCATTAAAAGAATTAAAAACTTAACTAAGAACCACGTAAACAATGATGAAAATCATGAAATTTCCATGTCCAAAATCTCACTGTCGCCGTCATCATTGAGACATGACTCGGTGCAAGAACAAGAGGAAGCATTGCCAAGATAGTTGATGCCGCTTGACGTCCTGAAGTTGTCCCAGTCCTGGAAGGCTGCCTCAAGCTGAGTCAGCCTCTGATCTATGTAGTGCAGGTGATGTGGCTTTTGGGGCTGGGATTTAATCTCTACTGCGAGGAGACTTCTGAGGAATCCAAATCTTCCCTTGAATCCTTCAGAGAGGAGTTGATGACAGGAAGTCTCAGCCGAAAGCGCGATCACATCATTGAGTTCCAATTCAAGTTCATCGAGTTTTCTCTTCAGGAGTGCGTATCCCTTCGGCGCCATTCTACTCTCCACTAACCGCCACTCTGGGTTTCAAAATTATAAGATGGTGGTGGTTCCATGATTCGATCGAAGAGGTTTTTGGAAGTTCGCGTTGAATCATGAATGGTGCTGTGGTTATGGGGAGAGGCAACGGTTGTTTTTTTTTTTTTTTTTTCTTTTATTATCTCTCCTCTTCTGTCAAATGCATGTCATCCCAACAATTTCCAGTGTAGGAATCTACTACCAACAAAACGCTTCCAACGCTGTCCTAACAGTCACTGCAGCCTCACATTGGGAACATCTCCCTTGTCAGATGTTCCCAATGTACGGCTGCAATGGCCGGTTGGGACGTTGTTAGCTGATCCAAATGCCAATTTCCATTCTTTCTGGTCATGTTTCCAAAATTACCCCTCCCAACTTTGTCTCTTTTGTAGCCTTGTAAGGCATAAATCTCAAATACGAACCCAAAATGATCCATTTTTTCTAAGGGATTTTGACTATGATGACTTGAATTTTGCAGAAAAGTCATTTTGGATCTTAAAGAATTAAAAGGGTTATTTTTGCCCTCAAATTATGATGGAAAGATCATTTTAAGGCAAAAAGAAATGATGTTAGAGATGTCCATGATCGATCCGTTAGACAAAATAAAATAATAAAAACATACTTCTTAAGCGGCATCACTCAAGTTTGCGAAGGCCACTTTATACCATAAATTTTGAAAACACCAATTTACATGTCAAAAAAATCAATTTTATTAACCTTGAAATAAATTAATTCAAGGATTTTATTAGGAGCGGTTTAATCAATAATAATTAATTAACAACAATTAAGAGTAAATTATTACTTAAGCACTTAATTAGCTTAACTAATAGTAAATTAACAATCACTAATAACTTAGTAACTTAATTAGCTTAATTAACTTAGTAACTCAATTTGCTTAATTAAAATTAATTTCTTTAGTTGTTTATCTTAATTTACTTGATTATTAGTAACCTAATTTAGTTATTTACCTTAATTAGCTTTGATTGTTTAACTTATCTATTTGCTTAGCTTAATTTACTTAATTGACTTAATCAATTAGTTAACTTAATTTACTTATATAGTTTAATTATCTTAATTTTTAATTGCTCTATTTACTTAACTTAATTTACTTAATCAATTAGTTAATTCACTTAATTGGCTTAATTTACTTATTTTGATCGATTAGCTTTGTTTATTTAATTTAGTTTTCTTAATTAATTTAATTTACTTTTTTTGGAAAAAGGTAACATAATATTTATTGAATCAAAAGTAGCACATACAAGTTGAGATTAGTCCCAAAAAGGCAGACTGATCAACACAACAATTACATACTCCACCAAGAACTAGAACAAAAAACAATAGACAAATTACAATTTCTAAACTCCTCAGAAGCTGACACCCAAGAGATTAACTTGCCCATAGCTTTTTGGATTAAATCTTCTGGACTTAAGGCCTTATTACAAAAAAGCCTACTATTCCTCTCGGACCAGATGGACCATAAGACAGCACTAGGAATAGTCTTCCACACTATTTCCTTTTCTTGTTAAGACCTTTGATGTTCCAGCAACACAAAATCTCTTTTACCGATCATGGCATAGTCCATCTTAAATTCATGGAGTTGAAAAGTGATTCCTCAATTGAGAAAAGAACGGGCAGTGAACGCACAGATGGTCAGTAGATTCAGAATTGTTCCCACATAGACTGCACGAAAGGTCCAAAAGTTGAATGCCCCTTCTCACAAGATTAGCTCTAGATAGACATTTATTTAGCACCATAGTCCAGACCAGGAAGTTGGATTTAGACGGGCTAATAGGATTCCACACCTGAGAACATGACAAATCAGTGGCACCCTTTCTACAAAGTTTGGAAGCCAAAGAATTGACAGAAAAAACACCATCTGGATTCCACTTCCTATACCACTTATCTTCTAAGCAAAAATCAACCTTTTGAGTCTAAAGAATAGTCAACATGTTCATTATCTCTTACAGCTCCCAGTCGAAAAGATTCCTTCTAAAGGTAGAGGACTAGATAACTGAATCTCTAGACAAGCCGCAACACTTAGCAATAGAAGCCTCTTGGTTAGATGCATACTGAAAAAGGAGAGGAAAAGATTCAATAAGAGAACCATCCAAGCACTAGAGATCCTTCCAAAACTTTGTTCTACTACCATTGCCGACCTTAATTGAGATCCCATCAGCAAGAGCAGAGAAGTTCTTCATTATCCCTTTTCACCGAGAGTTTCCCCAAGTGGGAGGAGGGTCCCTAGTTCTCCAATTGCCCCACTCCACCCCATACTTACCAACAATGAGAGATCTCCACCAAGCATCATTTTCAGCCGCAAATCTCCAAATCCACTTACAAAGAATGTCAGAATTAAAAGTTTTCAACTTATGCCTAAACCACCTTCATCCTTGGGGAGACAGACTTGATCCCAACTAACAAGATGAAATTTTTTCTCTTCCCAACCCCTCTAGAGAAAATTCCTTTGATGTTTTTCAAGCCTTCTTGCAACTTTATTTGGGATAGGGAAAAGGGAGAGGAAATAGGTAGGTAAATTAGATAATGTGCTTTAATCAAAGTCACCCTACCCCCAAAAGAAAGATATTTTTCCTTTAAAGATGCTGATTTTCTCTCCATTCTTTCAATAACTAAGTCCCAAATTGAAGACAACTCACAATTCGCCCACAGAGGAAGACCCAAATATTTAACAATATTTAACTGGAAGGGAATCAATCTGACAAGCCAAAATCTTCGCACAATCAACTAAGTTGGAAACTTGACCAACTGGAATGATTTTACTTTTGCTCCAATTGACTTTAAGACCAGAGACCACCCTAAACTATGTTAAGACCCCAAAAACTAAGTCCACCTGAGAGGGAGAAGCATTCACAAAACATAGTGTATCATTTGCAAATTGGAGAATGTTAACCTTCTCCCCCTCCAGAGCAATTGCAAAACCTTCTCAGGAGAATGTTAACCTTCTCCCCCTCTAGAGCAATTGCAAAACCTTCTCACTCACCAGATTCACTAGCCTTTTTTACAAAAAAAGAGTGAGGATCTCCATTACACATATAAAGAGTAATGGAGACAGGGGATCACCCTATCTAAGACCCTTGGAACTATCAAAGAAGCCTGTAGATTGCCCATTAATCAAAACGGAAAATTTTGGAGAGGTGAACATATTTTAGTATAGTTCCTTCATTTCTACCCAAAATTCATGTGTTGCAACACAAGATCAACACATCGCCAGTTGACATGATCACGGGCCTTTTCAATATCAAGTTTACAAATCAACCCTAGGTAACCCTCTCTTCTTCTTGAATGAATCAACTCATTAGCAATAATAACTGAATCAAGTATCTGCCTACCCGAAACAAAAGGCACTTTGATTGTTTAAGATAACACTACCTAAAGCCCCTTTCATTCTCTCGGCAAGGACTTTGGCTAAGATTTTATAGAAGCAATGCAAAAGACTAATCGGCTTGAAATCTTTAATGTTCATTGCACCTTCAATCTTTGGAATAAGGGTAATAAAAGTAGTGTTTAAACTCCTTTGCAATGAATCTCTTTCATAAAAGCCCTGGAAGACATTTAAAATATCTTGTTTCACAAAGTCCCAGCATTTAATGTAGAAAAGATTGGTAAGACCATTTGGCCCCGGGGATTTATCATCAGCCAACATCTTAATTGTTGCTTTTATTTCCTCTTCCGTAAAGGGTCTTTCAATGAAGGTGGACTTAACTTCACTCAGCTGTTTGAAGGGAAGGCACCTAGGAAATGGTCTGAAGATCCAAGATTCTTTATAAAGCTTTTTATAAAAACTGGTTGCCATTGTCTTCATTTCTTCCTCAGAATCT